TGTGTGTGTGTGTGTGTGTGTGTGTGTGTGTGTGTGTGTGTGTGTGTTGAGTTGGACTGGATTGATAACACACGAGCAGTATTAGAAATCTAGAACGAAATTCACCACCAGCTATTTATATGTGGGGTGAGTTATGCTGAGTCAGATGTTGCTACCGTTTCTCCTCAAAGGAACGTAACATTTTGGCAGATTTTATAAAATTCGAAGTAATCACCTAAGAAATGTCAAACCATTTGGTATGAAGAAGATGCAAGTTTTCTCTTCGATTTCTGGATTTTTTCCCTTGGAGATGATTAATTATGCATTTTTCTCCTGTCAGGTTATTCTATGTTGCATCTCGGGAGGGTCACCTTCCGGAAATTCTCTCCATGATTCACATCCGCAAGCACACTCCTCTGCCAGCTGTTATTGTTTTGGTAATGCATAGTAACATGTGTCTCTAGATGTAACCTCAAAGAACAGCTTAGCAAAGAGGATTCCAAACTTGGCTTCAGCTCGTGCTTTCTGTTCTCAGTCATCGCTAAAGTGGCTCTATGTGTATCCTGGTGGATTTGCAGAGGCAGAATATTTTCCATCGCTTCCCTTCATCCAGTATATCTGATGCATATTTGATGCTTTGGAGCAATAACACGTCCCTTCTTTTTCATCTTTGTAGAAATCTGTGAGATCAAAGGGAAATGATTGCCTGGGCTCCTGTCACCGACAGAGAGGCTCGCAGAAAAGGAGGTCGAGGAATAAGTCCCAATTCTACTTATTGAAAGTGGAGCTAAAAGCTGCAGTCCCCAAACGCCCAGATATCTCGAGGCCCCTTATCATGAAATGCATACAAAGTTATAGAAAAAGTGGACAGAATCCTAGACAGTGCAGGGATTCTGTGCTTGAAAGTGAGAATTTTGAGAGCAACCCTAAATGGGAGAAATAAAAGCACCAAAACTTAAATTTGAGCTGTACGATTCTTTATGCAGAGAAAAGTATTTGTGAAACACGGGATATGAAAGACTGTGTAAGGTGTAGGAGTCCTCAGACCCCCATTGGCAATGTTATATTCCTTTTTACCTACTATTTTTTCCCAATAAAGTTTCCAAAACCCAAAAACATTTCCCAGAAATGTTTCCCAGTAACATTTTTTCCCAATCTCCTGCTGTCAGGCGCACCACAGAATGCACTGAACACTTTTGTGCCCCCATCTCCACCCACCATGGGTTTCATTTGTTTCAAAATGTTTCCTTGAAATTTCTTTGTAAAGGCTGGTGGGCGGGTGGGGTACTCTGTGGATTCTGGAAATGTACTTCACTTGGGGGAACAGAATGTATTATTTTGTGGGAACAGGATATATTATTGGTGAAGAGGGCTTTCATTGTAAGCCTGCGTTATCAGTCATGCTGTCCTTGGTCTGTGCAGCTGTAGAGACTTGCTATGCTGAACTCTGCGCTCCATTCTTTTCTGCGGTCTTGAGGGTCACATGTGGCAAGCACCCAGGGAGAGGAAGTGTGGAGGAGGGAAAGGTCAACGTTCTGCACTCAGGAGAGGACACAGTCTCTAGAGGTGGCTGTCTTTCCTGTGTATGCATAGCCAGGGGCTCATCAGACACCCTTCGCAGAGCTTTCTGCAAATGTGTGTATTGGATGCGCTTTTGACTTTTATCGTTAGTTATTTACCGGCCATCTCAGTCTCTGGGTCTTTAAATTTTGAGTCATCGAGTGTCCTGTGTTTTGCTCTTTGAAAGCACGTGCTCTTAACTCAAATGAGAAACAGCTGAAAATAATGCATCCGTGTGTATGTAGAGAGTAGAAAAGCTGGATGTGTAGCTAGGAGGTTAGTTGACTATAGGTGTTAAGCGCAATGGTCGTTTATCCGTGGAAAGAATCGTTTGGAAAAGATAATAATGACGTGCAGTGATGATATTGCTTGTTATCACGTGTGTTCTCTTTTAACTGTGCCTGGTTTTTCTCTCCCTCCCCCACCCCCCCAGCACCCTTTGACGATGGTAATGCTCTTCTCTGGGGACCTCTACAGTCTTTTGAATTTCCTCAGTTTTGCCAGATGGCTTTTTATTGGGCTGGCGGTTGCCGGGCTGATTTATCTTCGGTACAAACGCCCAGATATGCATCGTCCTTTCAAGGTAACCTCCGCAATCTTGATGGGTTTACATAAATCTTCCTCCTAATGCCTGGTCCTCCCTTTGTCATAAGCTGATGATGAAGAGCTTGGGCAGAGGGGCAGAATCCTCTGGAATAAAATGTTTAACCCTTGCAGGTCATGCCTTCATATGGGATTTATTTTACTTTGAAAAAATAGTTCATCGGCTCGTTTGTGATGTACCGAACTTTGTAGGTCACATGGTTGAAAAGTGGGGATATTAATATACAATGTTTGTTCTATTGATTTTTCATGAATGTGTCTAATGACCTGATATGTTCAAAATATGGACTGCTTCTTTTTTTTTATGCTGAATAGTTGTGGACAACCATACTCAGAGTGAGGCCCATATGTATGAAATCATCACTGATTCAAACTTTAAAAAGGATGCTGCTTTACAGAAAGGCATTTTAAGAGTTCTTAAATGTTATGACTTGTTTTATTGCCCCTTTTCTGCGTTGTACACTCCAGAAGGAGTAGAAATGTGAAATACATAGGGAAAGTGAAGATGTGTGAATATACCACTTAATAGAATGTCCATTTACCATAGCTAAGTGTTTCCTTTTGGGAGGGCTGGCGCATATGCCTCTAGCCTTGAAAGTTCACGGACTGATTTGTCTTTACTATGTATTTGCTTTTAAGAAATAACACCGATCATGTTGTCCGTCATGTCGTCAGAATTTGTTTCTAATTATATTCATTGCCTAATGCCGGCAACATCTTTATTAGTGGTTGAATAGGAGTTGGCCTGTTTTATCCCTGTCAGTTCTTATTGTGAATCTCCAACAGAAAATCGATATGCACTGAAAGGCTTTAACATGTAACAAGCAGCCCGTGCTCCTGGCTCTACATGAAAGTGGATTCTAATCATAATTATCAGAGAACCAATCTTTTACAATCAGAAACGTAACTCGTAAAACATAGTGCTTAACTAGTAAAATAGTTCAAACAGAACATCTCTAATGAAACACACTTATTTATCCTTAGATGTTGTTCTACCCAAAGTTTTTTGTGTTTGTTTTTAATTTAAAGGAGTGTGTTTAATATAGTCTCTGTGCCCCGTGCAAGAGATTTCGGTACGAAGGTGTGGTAGGATGGTGCCTGTCACTTGGTCACGTGATCAAGGTGTATCACCTGATCCCATGACTGATGTGCACATCTTGAATCCACCTTCTGTCCCTTGAACCACCCTTGGAGTGATTTTCTTCTGTGCTGTGTTCCAGGTGCCGCTGTTCGTCCCGGCTTTGTTTTCCTTCACGTGTCTCTTCATGGTCGCCCTTTCCCTTTATTCAGACCCATTTAGTACAGGGATTGGCTTCGTCATCACTCTGACCGGGGTCCCTGCCTACTATCTCTTTATTATATGGGACAAGAAACCCAGGTGGTTTAGAAGAATGTCAGGTAAGACTTTTAAGCAGTTTCGGGACCTTTTGAGAGACCGTGTTGTAGAAAACCCATCTATGTGTACCTGTCTAACATGCATGCATTAAAGTGTGAAAATGTAAGTGGGGAAATTGCTAGTTTGAATACATTACCGTATTCCAATGAGAACTGGTAGAAGAAAAGGCAGGAAGGATGTTGAGGGTAGAGCCACTGAATCCTTTCAGGATATTGAGTTCCAGTTGCTTTAATCGCTTCTTAGGAGAACAAATTTTTAGATAGAATTTTATCAGCAGTTCTGTAAACGACCTAATTGTTCTTCCGAATCCCTTACTAACTTAATTGTTTCTATCCTGGGTTGAACGTAGTTTATTGATTCTGTATGATAACATACTACTTAATGAGTGATAGGAGATTTGGTGGGGGGTTAGGTAGAGCCTGCAAAGGGCTTAAATATCATTATTATAACACCACCCTATCGGTGAATCATGGAGGGTCATAAGAACAGCAAGAATGCTCATGAGGGGCCTTCCCCGGTGGTCCAGTGGTTAAGACTCCGCGTTCCGGGCTTCCCTGGTGGCGCAGTGGTTGAGAGTCCGCCTGCCGATGCAGGGGACACAGGTTCGTGCCCCAGTCCGGGAGGTTCCCACATGCCATGGAGCGGCTGGGCCCATGAGCCATGGCTGCTGAGCCTGCGCGTCCAGAGCCTGTGCTCCACAACGGGAGAGGCCGCAATGGTGAGAGGCCCGCGTACCACAAAAAAAAAAAAAAAATCAGTAGGTAGGAAGGGTGCTTAGGAACAGCCTCTGTCAAAAGCCTCACCCTCTGTCAGGGGCTCTGCCAGTGACGCTGTTTTCCTCACATCATCGTCTCATTCAATCCTCCCCAAGATCCACGTGTGAACTGGTTGATTTCTATACCCAGATGGGAAAACCAGGGTGCAGGGAGATGGAGAATTTAAGTGTATAGATTTTAAACCATTGAGCTGGGATTTGAACCCACGTATGCTGGACTTCAAATTCATGCTCTTTTTGGATTGGGTACCTGTGGGAAGAGAGAGAGGGAGAACTTTATCCAGAGGAGCAGATAGGTTCTTGCTGGTGAGGTTGGTGAGTTTAAAAACCCACTTTTTTTCTTTTCATTCATTTTAATTTACTTACTTTGCCATCATTAATTTTTTAAAGCCCAGTAAAATGTTCAGGGAGATTTCTGGTCAAATTATTAATAAATAATGTCAGTGTTACTAAAAATAAAAAACAAACAACTCTGTGTACATATTGCATCTCTAGTGTGCTACACAAACTCATTTAGAAGCTGGTCATTTAATATAGACATCTGCATCGCTTCTCGGCCTTTTGGCTAAGATCAAGTGTAAAATAGACTTCTGCTAGTACTCTATTAGCTTTTAATTGGTGTTTGATATCTTTAGACCTTATACTATTATTTATACCTGCATTTTGTTTCCTAGCTGGCAACATTATTCCCAGAGGAAGTGTTACTGTAAAAGTTAGGTTCTTCAAGGTTTACACAGGCACACAGATTGCCTAGCAGGGTATTTAATCTCTGTGTCTTGTTAGAGCACACTGGTTTTCGGTAGAGTATTTTTAGTTATGTTTTATCTGTTGTAGGCAATACATAGAGAGCCTTTGCTGAAAAACAAATCCAAGTCTTGTTAAACAGTATGTACCATTAGGATTGCTCGTTGCCAATGTTCAGGGTAGATTAGTACTCACCACTGTGGGGGGGGGGGGGTCTGTGTCCATCTCAGATCCTGGCTAGAGACAATTAAAACCCCTGAATGCATGGAAAACCATGAGAATTTAGGAAGAAAGAGTGGGTAGCCCTAGAGTTGGACTACAGTGTGAGAGACCATGATGAAAGAACGAATTCCTGTTCTTGCGCACTTAGTAGGCATTTTGTCCTTCCTGTTTGCAGTCAGCCAACTCTAAAAATGCTTTCCTTCTGCTAACATGTGCCTATTTTCTTCCATTTCTTTGCCGGTACGTATCAACTACTGGTTTTCATGCCTGCTCCTTTGATGTTTTCCCATGCTCATGTAGTTGTGAAGTTTTCAGTTATTATTCTGTCTCCAATGGCGTTTTGCACATCTCCAAGGACTCTAAATGTAGTGTTAGCCATTCGTGAAAGTAGCAGCAAGTCGCAGCCCCATGATGGTTATTTGGTTCTCAACAACGCCATTGAGTCTTACCAGGGAGCGTGGCAATTCTGCCTTGACACTGCGATCATTGTAACCCTTTATCTTTATAGCTGCCTTTTGAGTGAGTTTGCGAAAAGCAACAATCCTCTGTAATTTTGTTTGATTTTCCACTTAGGCAGCATTCTTAAAGTAAAATAAAGAAAATTCATAATATTTATCGCGGCCGTAGCAAGTATTTTCCTAGCCTTTGGCCAAAACAAAACACTCACACACGGACACACAACACAGCAGAGTCCTGAGCCATCACCTCGCCTCTTCTCCCAATTGCCTCCTTGTTGTCAGGGAGAAACTCAGTGTAAACTTGGAGCCAGAGAGCCTCTGCTTGGAGCAGTGTGCAGAGTTAACACCAAATTGTTCTGCTGGGGAACATTCTTTAGCCTTGGTCTGATCACTTATTTTCACCCGAGTATACCTGAACAGATCCTCCCTGTGAAATGATAGTTTATCAAAATACATCTTACCAGGGGGCATCCCTTAATAAAAGACAGGGTCACCGAACAGCGTTCAGAAAACGGAGACAGGCTGCTGAGTTGAGATAGCCAGAGAACGTTCAGAACCCGAGAAGCTGAGAGTTTCAGAGACTTGATGAATTTCTCTGGCCACAGGATGCCAGCATTGAACCACGCTTCATTTGATAGCATTCCTGGGATGAAAAGAAAATGTGCTCTTAAGGGAATACTCGGATGTGCAGAGAGCTTTTTTCCCCCATCTGTGATGGAGTGCTTAATTCATCTGGATCGATTTATTTATAGAAACACAAGCTTCTCACCCAAGGAAGAGGAGACAGATACCCCACCGACATACTCAAATTCATGGGGATGCTGGAGCCGGCAAACCCCAGCCAGGGCTCCCCGCAGCCGTTTTCCTCGGCCGCCTCTGTTTATCCGTCCAACCCCATCACAGCTGGGAGTGTGTGGGGTGACTGGAAGTTGGTCCCTCTGGCTCCGGGCGAGTTGGGGAGGACAGCTGTATTTAAACAAAATCTTTAGTGATAACGAATCATACTGGGCAGCACCACAGAATGACTGTTGTCCATCGTGGACAGATTTTGCAAAACCAGAATTCTAAAAGCATGTTCTGCATACAGTGTGTCGCGATCAGTTTGTGTATGATGCTCCACTGGAAGCTGCCGCAGGCATTTGACAGACTCTTCACGAAGACTGAGGTGCGATGTTTTACACGAGTTAAGCTTGCCTGCATTTCTTACCAAACCATCTTCACTGTAAGGGTCAAATGGGGCCATGCATGTGAAAAGGTTTTGAAGGCTTTTCCAAAAAAAAAAAAAGAAAAACGTAGACACTGTGGTTATGATTTCTGGGGAAGCTTGGTTTTGTGCTAATGTTTCATAGGCTTATTCCATTTTGGCTGTAGTTCCCACGCTTGTACCAGGTATGATTGGGTAAATCAGATTTTGCAAGGGCAGTAGTTGTTTCAGTGGATTTCCAAAACAACGACTGAACATGGAAGACAAAGCTAAAAATATTTCCATTGCTATTTGGTCTTATAGCTTACATAACTAAAAACACCAAATGCAGACTCAATGGCTCGACTTTATTTAAAGAAATATTGTCAGGGGGCTGATTATTCCCAAAGCCAAAGGCCCTACATGGGTAGGGATGTAGTTGGAGACCACATGCTCTGCAGCTTTTTGGGGCAAGCAGGAAGCTTCCTCAGAGGCTTACTTGGGTCCACTGAGCACCGCTCTGTGACCCCCATGGCTGTAGATGACCTGGTGGGAAAAGTTGGTAGGACTCCAAAAGCCACTCAGAGCCCAAATCAGTCACTCTGCTCAAACCTCCATCATGATGAAAATTATTTAAATCTCGAGATCCCAAGAGAGGGCATAAGAAAGCCACACGAGGGACCGTCCACAGGGCTGACTGAGCGTGGAGGTATTACTGGGTGTGTAGAACGAGGAGAGAGGTTCTTTGGCCCCAAAAGTGCTACTGAATAGGAGATCCAAATGGAGCTTTCAGGAAGGAGAATGCCACACGAGCGGAGCAACAGGATCTCTTAAGTTGTTCTCCCTCTGTCTGGAACCCATGCAGTGTTGTGACATGGGTCAGTAAGATGTCTAAGAAAGCTGAGGGCTGCAGAATTACAGAGGCACACTTTTGGAAAAGGCTTTCATTTGGGGCATGGAGGAGTAGATGCTGCATTAAAAAAAAAAAAAAAATCTCCGTAGACAACTGCATAAATAGTCACACACACGCGTGCGCGCGCGCACACACTCAAGAACGGCCGTCGTTACGGAGACTAGTTCGAGTAGCGACTGCAGGACTTCTCCGGAGAGGAAGGGCTGCAGAGCATGTCACCTTAACCCCACCGCTTTGCATTTGACCATGGCAGAATTCTTGTTATTTAAAGCTATCAGTTAGTCCTAGCTCCATCTCTGCCCGCAAAAGACACATCGCCCTTGCTATTGACTGATATCTACTTTTCCACAGTCTATTTTTCTAGGATAATTCTATCATTTCCCTTTTCTGTAAACATGAACTTCAATTGCTCTTGAGCACTCCCTTGTGCTCCATGTACATCTCAATGTCAAGAGTGGGCTGTGACAGAAAAGAATTCATTCGAGAAACGTTTACATAGAGTTTATCATTTTCCAGAATGATGCTGCACCCTTTGTAGTGAATGTATATTATAAAAATCAGTGTGCTGAGGAAAACAACTTGGGAACACTGTTAGAAAATAAAGGATGAAAAAACGTGCCTTTTTTAGTGGCATTAAATATTGCTGGGAAGGGACTCTTACAGGTGACAAGTCATAAAAGAGGAGAAAGATGGCCTGTCTGGATGAG